ATATATACACACACACATACACAAAGAAAAACAAGTAAATAGAATAGAAAAATAGAAAGCTAGTGTTTGTTTGTTTTTTGTTTTTGTTTTTAAAAAAAATAAAGATAAATATAGATAAAGTAGAATCAAAATAGAATAGAAAGTGTTAGAGTTAGAGGGTCAAATAAAGCTGGAACAGATGTGTTTTTAGTCGTTTCTTGAAGATGGTTAAGGACTCAGCTGCTCAGATTGAGTTGGGCAGGTCATTCCACCAGTAGGGAACAGTTAATGTAAAAGTCTGTGAAAGGGATTTTGTGCCTCTTTGAGATAGCACAATAATACACCGTTCACTTGCAGAACGCAAGCTTCTAGAGGGCACATAACTCTGAAGTAATGAATTTAGGTAAATGGGTGCAGAGCCAGTGGTGGTTTTGTAGGCAAACATTAATGCTTTGAATTTAATGCGAGGAGTTACTGGTGGCCAGTGCAAATTGATGAACAGAGGTGTGACATGCATTCTTTTCGGCTCATTAAAGATTAATCTTGCAGCGGCATTTTGGATTCATTGTAGAGGTTTGATAGAAGTGGCTGGAAGACCTGCCAAGAGAGCATAAATAAAGATTTGTGTTTAAACAGTAAGTGTAGATCTTCAAAGAATTTAGATTTAACCAGATATTTTCAGTGTAACTAAAGGATTTAAATTTAACCAGAAATATTTGATTGAACTGAAAGCTATAAATCTTGTAACATTTAATATAAACGAAGATTTAAACCATGTATTTACATATAAATGAATTTATGTTTAAAGAATTTATTTGAAAAATAGAATTAAAACTTGGAGTTTGAAGCATTACATTTGAGTTTGATCAGCTGTACGCTACACAAGCAACATAAGGTCTCTATTTTGCCTGAGGTTATCAGTGAAGTGTATATGTCATTAATATAGCAAAGTCCAATGCTTGTCTGTGTATGTTTTTCAGTGGTACTGTGGCTCATAAAATCATGCAGAAGTATGGATTCCGAGATGGACAGGGCCTGGGGAAACACGAGCAGGGGTTGAGCACGGCGCTCTCAGTGGAGAAAACCAGCAAGCGTGGGGGAAAGATTATTATTGGAGACTCAACGGAAAAGAGTGAGATCATACACACACACGCAAGCAAGCACACACACACACACCCACACAAGCAAGCACACAGTAACTATGTACAAACCCACACATCACAGGTCCAAAATAAACATTCTCATTTTTTTCCCTTGTTCATTTGTCTTGTTGTTTTTGAGTATCATGTTTGTTTTCAACTCCATGTTTTGTCATTTGCACAACCATGTAACCACTGTGTGAGTGTATTATTTTATTCATTTGAATGTGTGTGCGTTTCAGCATCAGGATCCAGTCAGAATGTGGCTGATCCACATGGCTCTAATTCAGGTTTGACTTTATTTTATTTCCTGTTTCCCATATCAGTCATTTACTTCTGATATTTGTTTGCATCTGTATGTGTCTTGATCACCCACATGTGCCCTATTAGTCGTTAGAAACCGGAAACTATACACATTTGTGCCCATCATGCATGTTATGCAAACAGTGGCAACCGTAACGTCCCTAACATGGGCAAACAGATGTTACAGTAAATAATGACATTATCAGATGTCCTGCGCTATATAGTTAAAATATTATCTTTATATTTTTACTATATTTAGTATATGTCGATTTTTATGTATTTGCTTATCTTTTTTCATATCATTAGAACCGTCATTTTGACCAAACAGACATTAAATTCATGTAAGTAAACTATGGTAAAAATGTGATTTTTATAATACAAAGCTCGCTCCCACAATGCTTTTCACTACATGAAAACAAAGCAAGAATCATAATTAATTGTTCTCATTTGTATGCACCAGAATTACAATACATAGTCATAAACAGCAATGTTTACACTATTGTTAAAAAGTTTGGGGCCGGTAAGAGTGTATATATTTAGGGCCCGAGCACCGATGGTGTGAGGACCCTATTGGAATTGCTCCGTTTCTTCTTCTTCTTCTTCTTCTTCTTCTTCTTCTTCTTCTTCTTCTTCTTCTTCTTCTTCTTCTTCTTCTTCTTCTTCTTCTTCTTCTTCTTCTTCTTCTTCTTCTTCTTCTTCTTCTTCTTCTTCTTCTTCTTCTTCTTCTTCTTCTTCTTCTTCTTCTTCTTCTTCTTCTTCTTCTTCTTCTTCTTCTTCTTCTTCTTCTTCTTCTTCTTCTTCTTCTTCTTCTTCTTCTTCTTCTTCTTCTTCTTCTTCTTCTTCTTCTTCTTCTTCTTCTTCTTCTTCTTCTTCTTCTTCTTCTTCTTCTTCTTCTTCTTCTTCTTCTTCTTCTTCTTCTTCTTCTTCTTCTTCTTCTTCTTCTTCTTCTTCTTCTTCGCCGCATTTTTGAGGGCCTACAACACTTAGCTAAGTGCTAAAGCATGATATTAATGCAGTGAAAGTGGAAGTTTTTGTAACTCAGGCATGCAGTGTCCAATCTGCAACAAACTTCACACGTTTCATAGATGTTATGTCCTGAAGAAATACTCATGCCCAAATTCAGTTATACTCATAGCGCCACCTGCTGGCACCAGGAAGTGACATGTTTAGCACTGTTATGGACTCCTAGGAACATATTAAAAAGCGTCAGCAAGTGTTAAATAGGCTGGCAATGTGCTAGAAACATACTAAAACATGCTAGCAACACTTAGCTAAGTGCTAAAGCATGCTATTAATGCAGTGAAACAGGAAGTTGCTGTAACTCAGGCATGCAGTGTCCAATCTGCCCCAAATTTAACATGTTTGAGTCCTGTCCTGAACACATCTACATGCCCGTATTTGGTTATAGTCATAGCGCCACCTACTGGCAATAGGAAGTGACATGTTTTAACACTGTGATGCACTATTAGCAACACAGTAAAATATGCCATTGTGTGCTAAACATGTTAGAAACATTTTACCTCCTATATTTATCACTTTAAATGCATATTGCCCACCATTAGCTGTTTTCCTAAAGCCACCGGGTGGTGGTGAGCCTGGGTGCAAGGGCCCTTTCATCGCTGCTTGCAGCTTTAATTTAAAATGTAATTTATTACTCTGACGACTAAGCTGAATTTTCAGTATCTGTTACTCAGGTCTTCAGTGTCACATGATCCATCAGAAATCATTAAAATATGCTGATTTTGGCTGCTTAATTTTTGTGGAATTTTTTTCAGGATTCTTTGAATAAAAAGTTTAAAAGAACAGCAATTTTGTAACAATTATTTTGATCATTATAATGCTCCCTTGGTAAAGAGTATTAATTTCTATAAAAATTAACACTTAACAAAATTAATACTTCCATTTTAACCAGATGATGACTGCATACTGTTCAGATATAAAATGGATATTGTTATTTATTAGTCTAAATTTTAATTGTTTTTTTTCCAGGACTGGGGTGAACAGGAAGAAGGAGGCTGGAGGAAGCGTGGTGAGGGCGATTCAGACTGGCGACGTCCTGTTGGTGACCGGTAAGAGTTTTCACATAAATTGATAACCTGATGCGTAAGGACAAAGATTAAAAACGGATGCAGAGAATTGTGATTCATTATCTTTTTTTTTCCTCCCAGGGAGTGGCGTCAGGAGGGGCGTGAAGGCCGTGAAGACAATGATCGAGAAGACCGTGACCGTGAAATGCCCTTCCGGAGAGGAGGAGAAAGTTCTAGTCGTGGTGGTTCAGATGACAGAGGACTCCGCCGTGGCTTTGATGATGAACGAGGTCCGCGCCGAGGAGGTGACGATGACCGTGGACCCAGACGGGGATTTGATGATGACCGTGGGCCCAGGAGGGGCGTTGACGATGACCGAGGTAACCGAAAAGCTGATGAGGACCGCGGACCAAGGCGTGGAATGGACGATGACCGTGGCCCCAGACGAGGTGATGATGACCGTGGCCCAAGAAGAGGCTTTGATGATGACCGTGGACCCCGTAGAGGCATGGATGAACCCAGGGGGCCTCGACGTGGGGCAGATGATGACTGGGGCCCCAGAAGAGGAGGGGATGATGAGAGGGGAGGCCGTAGGGGTATGGATGACTCTGGCCCACGTCATGGAGATGACTCTAAACCCTGGAAACCTCTTGGGAGACCAGGTGCAAGCTCATGTGGTATTTCTGTTTCTTTTCTTGCAGAGGGCATGTTGCTAAATATGTGTTTTAAAGGGTTCATATCATGAGGAATCTAATTTTCCTGTCATGAAGCAATGTGATGCTATCATCTGTTATTGAAGCATGGGACAGTTTAAACCCACAGCTCGTTCTTAAGTGCAGCAAAGTGTCATTTCATAGGAGAAATGTATTTGGTCTTAAACCCGTTTTATTCCAGAGGTCAGAGGAAAGATGGTTGGAAAATAAGAGGTGAAAAAATTAATTACTGTAGTTGTTGGAAATCATTCACTAATGTCTGAGAACCTCAGAGGGAACAAAAATATGACCCCTTTATATTGTATTTGATCAGTGGAAAGTTGGTTTTTGGTAACTATAGTCAGTTCTAG